TGAGTTTTGTGAGAGAGAGGGAGAAATTTGCGAGGGATGAACGTGCACAGCGTATGGAGTTGAGTAAACAAGAAAAGCATATATTAGAATTACAGTTGCAAGCGAAAAGAGAGCATGGGGAAATCGCGGTTGGTGAAAGAGACTCTGGGTATGCTAATCCACCAAAGTTACCCTTGTTCAATGAGGATAATGATGACTTGGATGCATGGATTCAAAGGTTTGAGAGGTATGCCATGGCAATTGAATGGAAGCGTAAAGACTGGGCAATAAATTTGAGTACCCTTCTTACCGGTAAAGCGCTGGACGCGTACTCCCGTTTGGCAGTACAGTCTGCAAGCGATTATGATGCACTAAAGTTGGCTTTGTTTAAGCAGTATATTTTAACCGAAGATGGTTTTCGGAAAAAATTCCGAGGTGCGAAACCTGATGAAACAGAAACGGCAACTCAGTTTGCTGCACGAATAGAAAACTATTTTGACCGATGGATACACATGTCTGAAATTGATAACTCTTTTGAGGATTTAAAAAATCTGAATCTGTTGGTCGCAGTTTATCGATAATTGTGGCCCAAGCTTAGCTACCTTTTTAAAAGAACGCCCTTCCAAATTGATTGCTGATATGGCCAAACTAGCTGAACAGTTTGTAGAGGCCCGTGGTACAAAGTTTGGGCAGGTAAATAGACGAGTTAATTGTAATGAAAAGAAACCCTCTCAAGGCAAAGCTGTTAACCCCAGCTCTCTCACTCGCCATCAAAAAGCCAGTCAAAGCGATGGTTGTTTTGTTTGTGGTAGGTCTAAACAAGCAGCAGTGTCTAGCAACATATCTGAGAATGATATTGTGACCTGCCGGGTTCCAGAAAGCTTGAATGAAATGAATGGATGTTGTCTGCAACAGGATCATGCGACATTGCATTGTGGCCATCAACTACCTGTTATGAGTTCAGCGTGCCGGGGACAGATGCCATCGAAATGCCGGTAGCAGTAGGTTGTGTTGGTGTGTTGAAGTTTCAGTTCTAAGAGATAGTGGATGTAGTGGTATAGAGGTAAGGCGAGCTCTTGTTTCTGATGACCAGCTAAATGGATAGTCTAGAGTCTGTGTTCTTGTAGATGGTACAGCAAGGAAGATTCCAGTTGCTCGGATAGATGTGGATACTTCGTATCTCATAGGTATGGTAGACGCCCTTTGTATGAAGAGTCCCGTATATGATCTTATCCTTGGAAATGTCCCAGGAGTTCGTGACCCATATGACCCTGACTTAAATTGGAATGGTGGTTCGCATTTAGATGTGCAGTCTGGAGACTGCAGTGATCCAGTACAATAGATTACATTGGGGGTACAAACGAGAGCCTAAAAGATGTTGGAGCGTAAACCCACACAAGGCTTAAAGGTACCGAATAGTCCCATAGAGATGGTAACAGTAGCCGAATTACAGAAAGAGCAGAAAACTGATGTAACATTGAAGCGCTGTTGGGAAATGCTGAATGAAGGTAGTAAAATGCTTGCAAGGATGGAATCAGAGTTCAACAAAAGGGAATTCTGTACCGTAATTTCAAGTCTCCACACAACAAAAATGATGATGGTTTCCACCAGGTGGTCATGCCATTGACATTGCAGCACCAAGTAATGAAGCTAGCACACGAGTCAATACTCGGGGGATACCAAGGGACCCAGAAGACGGTGGACAAAATTATTACACATTTCTACTGGCCAGGTATTAAATCAGACATTCGGAGATTTGTCCGATCCTGTGATGCCAATCTGATTCAAGTTAAAATCTGATGTAGTGTACGGGCTTTAATTATTTTGGCTATAAATTTATTTTAATTTTATTTTTTTATTACTTTTGTTATTAATGCCTTTTTATTTATTATTTTACTTTGATTTTGTGATTTTGTTTTAATTCCGCCCTATATACATCTGATTCGACGCCTACGTAAGTCCCATTCAAATCTCGCGTAAGTAACAGCCAATCACAGACCCCATTTTATACAGGCTGTCGGTTGCTTACTTTTCAGAGTAGCGATACTCTACGGGCAATCTTTCTGTACATTATATTTTGCCCACTTGAATAAACCATTATTAGAAAATTGCTAGTATATTTTTATTTACAAAAGAAGTTCCACAGCATTTTACAATTTTTGTCATTACATTGAATATTGTTTTCACTTCCAACAAATGTGTACACTTCCTGATACATCTTCCCCAGCCAAGGTTCGTTTATTTAGTCATCGCTTCAATTTTACATCAAACATTGAGCATAATTATCTAGAATGGAAGCAAAAAAATGATTTTTGGTCAACCAGGATTCAATGTTATTTTCTTACGTGTCACGCTCACAAGGTTGTAATGAATATATACACACCTCATACGCAAAATAATAGACCGAGTTTTTTTTGAATAACAACTTTATTTGATATTTGAAGGGAATGGGCGATATTATAGACCTGTCATACTCTCGGCATGATATCGGAAATAACACTCGACTTCGTCTCGTGTCATTTCCGATATCATGCTTCGAAATGACACTCCGTTGGTACGGCGAAGCCGATGGATGATATCACGACCTACCTCCGAATAAATTACACAAACAGGTTAAACGTTTGTTGCACATTTATTGTTTTCAATCAAATATTATGTTGACACATTATACTGCTATAATTGATCATATATTTCCGGTAATAGTAAACACGCAATTGTTGTAAACAATTCCAGCTCCAGCGTCTTGGGTGTTTAGTTTATGGATTCCAACATCTGCGGGAGATGACGTGTCAGAAAATTCATCAAGGTCGACGTTTACTTGCTTGGAGGTTGTAGCAGCTGCGGGTACCATTACTTTCTTCTGGTTCTGTGTTGTGCGTTTATTACTGCGAACACATGTCCTGTTCGTTCCAATATGAGTTGCTCATCAACACCATGCTCATAAAGACTGGTCACAGCTGTAACACGTAAACTATGGTTTGTAAAGTTTCCAACGATTCCAGCAGATCGGAATAAATTTGGCACCACGAGTTGAATAGAATTGTGCCCCATCGGCTGCTTAGTAAACCATATCTTGTCGGATTCTTCATATTTACGCCGGGGTTGCAGGTAGAATGCTTTTTGTTTTTCCTCGGGTGGGCAGAGTGATGTGTACTGCTTGAAAATTCGAATATGGCATTGTTGGGGTTTTTCAGAATTTGCATAATGCATTAGCTCTATTTGTCTTACTCTGATGCTTTAGACCACCTTAGTTGCTTTTTTGACACGTCTTGCACATACTTCAAATAAGGCGTTTCATTTGTTAACTCGTGTAAAGTGATTCGGGGGGCGGTTAAAACGTAGAACTCTATGTTCCATTCCGCTTCTGCGGGCAAAGTGTTTGCCATTTAAAAATACCATAGTGCGAACAAGAACCCGGGGAGAATATTCTCCTAGCAGCTTCATTTTTCAAAGTAAGGCGGTTTGGTCTTTGGTAATTAACTCAGCTTGTTTTGTTTTTGATCCCAACCCAAAACTGGAAATCTTTTTATTTCTGAATCGGGCACTTGACGACAACCCTGGAATTCTTTATCACTTAGAACATTTAGAGGCGTTTTACAGCTCAGAACAACCTTTGCTTTGCTAACCCATGATCAAAGATAACAATGTTTTTGGAGGATTACAATTTCCATCCACTTTGCGCACCTCTAGAACGAATTTACTTAACCAATAAGCCAAGTCCATGATGGGCATTACTTCGATACAGTCATAAATTTTCACCTTTTCATCAGTCCTTAACTCCAGTTGGGTGTTATTTCGTACTATCGTCCATTCAGAGTCCACATGTTACGTCGCCTTGTGTTTTTTGGTATTGATTCCTTAGCGACGGCCTGTACAGCAGAATCGCAAAACCGTCCACTCTGGATTTCCTGCAATATAATAAAACAAGTTGCATGTAAAGTCGAGTTTGCTTTTTATAATACAGGATATGATAAACCAGTAAATTGTTGTAACTGAAGTGAGAAAATACTTACTTGTGGAACTTCAAGTACCCGGTTCAATATCGACATTATCAAACCCGAGGTGATTCACATATTCAGCTGCCTGCGTTGCTTCTATAAGGTTTTTGGCGTCGGTCGATATTATGGATATCTCACACATATAATCTGATTATATAGTATAATTCATCCACCTGCATTAACTTAACATGTAGATATTGTGAACAACTGAAACAAAGCTCGGAACTGATTGATACAGACACAAATATTCGAACGTGATTGGTCAGTAACAAACCCCTTGTGCGATTGACAAAGGCGGGAATGTTATTTTCCCGTGTTGTTTCCAAGTAAAAAGTAAAATAAACGAGAAAAAAGAAACAAAATGAATCAAATCCTCAGATTTTAGGAGGTTCGTCCGAACCCAATGTACATGTTTCTAGTTGACGTTTTGTAAGCCGGATGATGTACGTGTGACCTGCATTTCCACTGTGCTAATGCACATGGAGGTAAAAAAACGTCCGTGATAAAACCTTATAAAAGTTTGTTATCGTCACAATCTCTTCCAACTTACAGATTTGTGCAATGCAATGACAATTCGACGAGGGCGCCATTGTCATGCAAGATTAAGCGCTACAATTTCACCCAAATCGTTCACATTTATTATTAGCACCACCATGTGTTCAAATATTTCATGAGCTTACAACCCCAACCACATATATGAATAATTCGTTCTTATAAAAATCAAATCAATCAAGCGGTTATTTATTTTTATATAGATTGTATACTATATAAGTTTTAAAATACGAGTTTGATATTGCTTAAAATAACAAATTACATAATTTTTTTCTCAGATATTAACAACACATTATGGTTATTATTATTACATTTATAGTTTATTGTTTTGTTACAAGGTTTACATGTACATCTTCTGGTAACAGGGCTACACGTGGTACCAATCAACCAATAACAATGTGGCCTTTCAATAACGGACAGAGTTCATAATTAGTATAAAAACAAGGTGTGACATGAACTCAAATTTAGTTATCAGGCTTTGGTGATGATAATTTCAACTTTACTATTTGTTACTGTTTCTTTACCATCCGACTGATATTCAGCATTTTTTGTCAGATAAGCCAGTGTGTCACCCACTAAGGATTTGGGAGCTGAATTACGGTAATCAATGACATGTGTTATGAAATCAAGGAGCATATTGGCTTCTTCTGACATTGGATTATGAATAACAGATGTCATATCAACACACACTGGTGTATACTTTAATTCTGTCAACCACCCAGAAGTTGTAACCACTTTCATAATATCCTCATCTGAATTCAAGCACACAGGATAATCTTTGTCTTTGTAGTAGTTCAAGTAAAAGTTGCCAAGTACACCTGTAAAACATCAAATATAAAATTCTAGACAAAAGTGTTTTATTTGTCCATAATAAATGAGCTACCAGTATGTTAAAATTTTAAATCAAATGTATTTTTGATTCACTTTTTAAAAATACATTTAAAAAACTCGGGAATGTTGGCATAGGTGCTAAACTATGGCATTGGTCGTCATAGTGGCTTAATATTGTGATTTCTAATAATCGTGTCTTTACAATTCTGAACAATACTCACTTTTTGTGCAAATCGTTGTTATTCCAAGAACAGCTTTTGGTTTCAATAATCGATACAAATGTCGTAATGTATCAGATAAGTCATTCAAATAGTACAACACATCCATACATAAAATTAAGTGATATTTATCTATTTCTGCCTCGGTGTCGATTTCCCTCCTGTATTGTTCAAACGTGGTGATATACCATTCAAAGCGAATTGAGGGGTACTTCTTTTTCAAAGCCATAAAATTCTCTTTGCATATATCTGCAGCGTTTTGTTCTGGTTCCAACACTCGTACATAGACCCGTGGATGACGTTCTAGTACATACTCTAGAACAGTGCTTTCCCGAGATCCTTTATTGGAACAAAAACATGGTATTTCATGTAATGGACATTTACAATACTTGAGTAATAGATACAATATCATTGTTTTATGTGAACTTATACTATTTGAATTATTGCCTTGTGCAATATGAATACTAATTATAATACACTTCCTGCTTCTCAGACAATTAACAGTTACACATCATCATCATCTTCACCATCATCAAACATAAACTGAAACCCACCTTCTCCCTTTACAACAATCAACAGATATACATCATCATCAGCACGACCATCAAACACAAACTACAAATGTGAAACTCACCTTCTCCCATTCCGACAATCAACAGATACACTTCAGCATCGGCACGCCCATCAAACACAAACTACAAGTGTGAAACCCACCTTCTCCCATTCCGACAATCAACAGAAGCACTTCATCATCAGCACGACCAAATACAAATTACATATATAAAAGCCCACCTTCTCCTGCTCCAACAATCAACAGATATACATCATCTTCAGAACAACCATCAAATACAAACTACAAGTATAAAACCCACCTTCTCCCATTCCGACAATCAACAGATACACTTCATCATCAGCACCACCATCAAACACAAACTACAAGTGTGAAACCCACCTTCTCCCATTCAGACAATCAACAGATACACTTCATCATCAGCA